CATTTGTAGGGATTCTGCGGCATGTGGAATTTGAGAAAAATTTGTTAGTTGGCTTTTTGTTATTTCGTGTTGTAAATAATATGGTAGTGGGATTTCATTATGCATCTGAGTTGGTTGATATGAATGTGTGTTAACTGGACTTTGTTGTTGAAAATTATGATTGTAAGGTGTTGGGTTAGTTCTAGGTTGTCCTATTTGTTCATTTCGTGTGTATGGTTCGAAAATATCTGGTTGATCAATACTGTAAAAACGAGGTCTTTGGTTTGAGGAAAATCGTTGGTGATTCTGATTATAGTATTCATCGTCTGTTGGAAAATAATTTTGTGTGTAATGATGAGGTTGATTTTTACTATGATATTTGCTTGCATTGTTTTTTCGTAGTTAAAATTGGTTGTGGTACATTTTGACTTTGTGTAAATATTTGAGTATTTGTTTTAGTTTTGGTCCGTTGACATAGTTGTAAATGTGTTCTGCAAAAATATTTCTGTGTTGTTTATATGATGGTTTTGTTACGGGTCGAAATGTTTGGTAATCCATCTGTGAATGTTTTTGTGCAACAGAGGGTTTTACTGTGGATTGTATGATTGTTTGTTGTAACGTTGGATTTTTTAGTTGTGGAGTTGTAAAATTTGGTTGAATAGGTGAGATGGTTCGTTGTGCTTCTGTTGTTGTTATTGTTTCAATAATTTCTTTGTTTACAAAATGTGATGGGGTTTGTATATCTTGTTGTGTAAGATTTCTTGTTTTGTTTAGATAATCATTATTTATGAATGTGGAAATTAAACTATGATTTCTTGTTCTTTCAGGGAGGAATGAATTGTAGTTTAGAGGTGTTGCGTCAACTGTAAGTGGATATTTTCTAACATAATCGTAATTGATTGAAATAGTGCTAATTGCTTGACTTGATATATCTGTTGATATATTAATAAATAATTCATAAGACCATTCAGGGTCCCATACATAGTCTGATTGTTCTGCTAGTACAGTTTCATCATCTGTACTTTGCGGTCGAAAATTTTTTCTTGCTTATTCAATGAAATCACTAACCGATTATGAACCATGCTAAGATTTTTTGTAAATCGTGTTTAACATTTTGTGTTTTTTGATCATTTGTTAGGTTTTCTCGAATTGCAAAAATTTGAAAATATTAGTATTTCCGTCGTACAATTGTATGTCAAGATGTTTGAGTAGGTGAATCATTTTGGGGTTCATCTAACGCTAATATAGATATATAGCTATAGATAAGTAAGATTACGTCGTTTGTAAATATCGAGTTTGCTCTCTCTGAGTTTTGGTGTTGTATGTTTTTGATGTATTGTGTAAAAACGTTTGAGAATTCAATATCTACATCGTCAGTTTGAATGAGATATCTATTATGAAATGCATTTGGTGATTTAATTTCTATTGTGTAGATTCCAAAATGTGATGAGAGACTACATATACCTTTGAGATAGTGATTGAGAAGTTGTCTTTTTATTTTTACATCTGGAAATTCTTTTGTGCATGGACTTTCTCCTTTTTCATATAAGTTTGCAATTAAATTTTTACAAAATTCTATTTGTCCGCGAGCTTCAGATAGTGGTGATATTAAAATGGAAGTACTGAGTTTTCTGAGTTATCTTCGTTTTGAATCATTTTTTTGTTGTATTATTGTTAATGTGTAGTTTTCAATGTGTCTTATTGGTTAATTCCAATTGTAGAAACGTATTGTTTTGTTTGTGTAGCAATTTTTATTTTCCGTTTGCTTTTTTTTGATGATTGTGATGAGGTTTCTAAATCTGTGAAATATAATTGATCGTCTATTTGGTGATTTTAGTTTGAGTCTTTTAAATTATGAAGGTCGTGTATTGCGTTTGTTTCTGATTCTGAGACTGCGTTTCTTCGTTTTGAGAATCTTTTCCTAATAAATTCTTTTTGTTTGTTTATTATCTTTTTTCTCAGTAATGTCTTTTTGTTCTTATATATCCTACTGATTGTCTGTGTGGTGTGATTACGAGGTCGTTTTTCTCGTCGTTAATTAAACAATTGTATATTATGATTGTTTGTTTGTTTCCTAAATTGTCTCTTGACATAAGGTTTAGAATGATTGATGCACAATCTGGATTAGTGATTTTAATGCCTTAAACTGTTAGTTCTTACAATTTTTTGTGGTAAGCCCAACTTGGGTCGTATAATTGGGTTGAGGAGAAAGCGTATATCGATTCCGAAGAATGATTTGTATTTTCTTGTGGCTAATTTTAAGCTAAGATTTGACCTACTTAATCTTACTGAGGGGTTATGATTTGTGATCAAGGGTTGGAGAAGCGTAAATCGATCCACAAGGTTCAGGTATAATTTGAACGCAAGTAGTTCGTTAGAGACTTACTAAGTTTAATTGTTTTAGCCTGGGTCATCCAAGAGGAGTGGGATCAAGTGAAGGATGAGTAACCGAAGTTCTTCACTGTTTAGCTTAATTAAATTGGTTAGTTCTCCGAAAAATTTCTGTTAATTCTGGGTCTTTTGATAAAGGTTGGGTAGTGAATCGACGTTTGAGGTCGTTAGACACTAAGTAAAAGGGGAGGGGGAGAGCAAAATTGTTCTATGTGATCCAAGGATAGGCCTTGATGATCAGAGATTTTAATATTTATAAATTTAAAATTTAAGTTATATTTTAATTTAAAGATCCAAGGAAAGCATTGATGAGCTGTTAATTAAATGAAATTAATTTAAGTGAAAGTAAGGATAAGCCTTGATAGATTAAAATTAGAGCGTTAAGGTTAGGTGTTAGTTTTGATGAGTGTTAATTTTTTGAAATTCCCTGTTATGTTTTGGATGATGAAGCTGGGATGATGTGATAAATTATAATACTAACATTTTATGATTTATACTAACTAATTTTTGTTTTTTTTTAATATTTAGTAAATGTTTTTTCAAGATGTCATTTACTTTACAGCTGATTTAAGGAAAACGGCAAGTGTTGTTTTTATCTGTCGTTTTTGTAAAATTAATAGGTTTAGCGCCATAATAGGTTATTTGAAGTTTTTTTTTTTTCATTTCAAATATTGGGTCAGTAAATGAAAGTTTAAATTTACTGCTGGTAGTTTTCTAAATACAAAATTTTGCCCTCGTTTTTGTTGTACTATCATGAAATCAATTGGTAGATTTCTTCCTAGTCGTATGTCGTTTCTTATTCGACGTCTTCTTCCAATACCGGGTAGTTCTTGTATTGTTCGGAATATTGGATCTGATCTATTGAGGCGTAGAGACATATCTACTAAGTTTTTGACATATAACATTTTTATGAAATGTTGTATTTGTCTAATTCTAATCTAATTTTTGTCTAATGCTAGGTTAGTTAAGGTCTGTTCGAGACTTTTAGTCGCACCAGATGAGTTATGTATAGGTTACTGTACTCATAGAGTAATTTCAGATAAGGTACACCGTCTGCTCGTTACGCTACCTTATTTTCGGCCGGATAGATTCGTGCAACTTCTTAGTCTAATACTGATCTTAATCTTACTCTTATATCTCCTAGTCTCAATAGACCTAGTGTACACCGGTTTACGCGAGTTAGTTCCAGAATGAGAACAACTGTTTTCTAAGTTTAATTCAAACTGTTCTGGTGTTGAAACTACAAGTAGTTTCAACACTTTACAAATAAATAGGTTGTTAGTTTTATGGAACATGGTTGGTTAGTATTTAATATTTTATAGATATAAAATATCTTAATATTAACCAATTATAAATAATAGTTTAGATCTGGTTCCAAATCAGTTATAGTAAATAAAAAAAATTTCTAGTTGATTTGTTTATTGGATAGTGACAAAAATCAGCATTACTTATTCCCAACCTAATGTATGTTGATTAGTATGCCCATGTAAAAGTTAGCTGCTGACTCGCGCGCTATTTCTAATTTTGTTCACTCAATTTGTTCAATCAGGTAATGTGCATTTGCCGGGTGCTTAAAAATGATTTTGTATTTCCCTGAAAAATCAAGTTGTAATTAAACTATAATGAAAATCGAGATGAAAGTAAAAACCAATTTTTGAGGGCCGACGAAATGAGCGCCGTTTTAAAGCACTTAGCGCATGCTAATCAGCTCACATTCTGATCACCACAACTCTAGCCTAACATTCTCTTTCCTGCTAACCAGTGACAATTAGATCCGCTAGGAACATCCACTTGACTCGAACTTCAAAATAATTTTAATCAGTTCGATTCTGCGAACTAAAAAGAGAAGCTATAAGTATTTGAGATATATTTTTTTCCAATCTAACTAGCATTTGTTGCTCAACACTTTAGCACTTTTGCCGCATATCACTTCATAAGCATGTGTTTTGTAAGCATATGTTTAACTCCCTATTATCATTTTTTGCTTGTATTTGCGAAGTGCAGGGTAATTCAGCGACTGCGCCCTCCTTAGTTGATTGCATGTTTAAGAGTTCAAATAGTTCCTGATGATTTTTTGTTAGTTTTTTAGGCAAAGTCTTAGAATGCTCATATAAATGACCTTAGGTATATGTGCACGGTTTGATTTCAATTGAAGTTCATTTGCTAGAAGGTAGGTAAAATGCACTCTCCATGTTTGAAAGCTGAATTGGCGCAATAAATGTGATCGATTTCTAGTTTCGAAAGTGGTTTTTAGTTTTTAGATTTCCCAGCCGAATAAAAACTTTGCCTAGTAGTCGTTTTCTCAAGTTAGGTTCATTTTTTCAAAAAAGTGCCAAATATATATATATATATATATATATATACAATCGAAATTCCAACAAAAAGTATATGACCTTCAAGCAGTATGAATTTTAAAAAAATATATATATATATATATATATATATATATATATATATATATATATATATATATATATTTTTAAATTCATACTGCTTGAAGGTCATATACTTTTTGTTGGAATTTCGATTGTTATTCGTAAAAGTTTTCATTAAGTTTTTTTCAACTGTCTGTTGGCTACATTTTTTTCAATTGGACCGGATAAAAACCTAGAAGGCAGTTGTTTTTTTAGCTAGATTTGAACGTGACAGAGACCAGCATTGCCCCTTCGTCGAACAATTCAGCTGGCGGGGGGTCATTAAATGAACGAGTGGTAGCGCAGGCTCCAGGCAGTCCAGGAGCTTTTCTACAGTACATGGGGATCGAATCTTCTTCGTCTGCAAGCAGTAACAATAACGGCGGGGCGGCAGGTGGTAATGGGTTGTCTAATTTTGGAACTGGCGAGTTGGAGACGTGTGCTGGTGTAAGCAGTAGAAACCCCAGCATAAACGACGATCATCTGAGCTCTCTCAAGTTTGTTCACTTTCAGCTCTTATATCACTCTGATTGGTAAGGCGTACAAGCTGGTGAGCCAAAATCCATGCACCAAAAGAATCTCCTGAACAAGCAATTGTATAATGTGCTTTAGAAAATACCAAATCAAAATTACTTCCTATGCAAGATGTATGCCGTCTTTCGATGCTGTATATGGTAATCCCTTCTTCGGTCCTAAACGCAGCAGCTGCATTAAGAAGCGGAACGCAAACTCTAAAAGACGCCTTGAACTCTGATTTTCTCAAAAGCGTTCCAACCAGCCAAGTGTTATAAAAACGAATTTACTTTTTTCCAACCCAACGCGCATTCAGAAGTGCTCATTTTGTGCCATTTTTGCCACATAGCATGGGTAGTTTAATAAGATCTGTACTCTTAAGACTAATAATCTCTGTGCCGGCAGTTCGGCACTCAACAAATTTTTTATTTTTTAGGTGTAGGATCAATAATATTTGTGCCGGCAGTTTGGCACTCAACAAATTTTTTATTTTTTAAGTGTAGGATCGGTTATCTTAGCACTTTTTCGCCATACTCAGATTTCAATTGAGAGTTTTACCTTGAGAAATGCATTGAGTAGAGTATAGTAGAGGTGATTCAGTAGTGAGCAGCTTGGTATTCACTATTAAATACGATAAGTGGAAACGCAAATAATTGATCTATCTCGATATTGTTCGAATCTTCAAAGAATTAGTCCCTTCTTTGGCGGAGTCTATAAGACGGTACCGATAGTGATACCCCCCGCTAAATTGAAACTAAGGAAGCTAGTTTTATGAAAATCATATGACAGATGCTAGAGATGATTCGACCCGGGCATGCAAAAATCGGGCCCCCTGGGGCAAATGATATCAGTCGAATAGCCCTATCAGAACTCGGTATCTCGTATCGTCCAAATCGGGCGGTTGGAACAGAAGTTATTAGCACTGGGGAAAAACACCTCTTAGACCGGAAATAGGCAATTTACGCAGAAAAGGGGTGAGGGCATGCCGGTTTTTTAGAAACAAAAGACGCTAGACACCAACCCCGAAAAACGCCATCTTGTGAGTGAAACCCCTCCGACTTCTCCTTCCGGTGTTAGTAGCCTTTTCCCGGGGATATGGATGAATTTTGATAGGTAGGACCTTCTTGAAATTCTGTAACCGACTATAGAAGGTTAATTCCGGACCAAAATTGCACAGAAAACCCCGGAATTATCACTGGACAATTGCGCATTCTTCAGTCCCAACACTTGGAACAAGAATCGGTCACCCTACTAATAATTGAGAGGGAACTTATCTACTGGGAACAGAAGCAGAGACTGAAAGGGGATGTAATTTTTACAATGTAACATTGGAGCTGTGGAACAAATTAGAGTGGACTTGGCAAACCTTGGGTTCAGATTAGCTTGGCGAATAAGCTATTCATAGAAATTCAATCTGACTAAAGAAACGCAGTCCCAGTGGAAATTGGCTGTAATAGAAACATGGCAAGGGAATTAGGTCTCATGAATAAGATGAATGGCCGGGATATTTATTTAGCTTCCCTGAGGTGTCCTTGGCACAATTTGAACCATTATAAACGAATGCGGTTCCCCTGATAGGTAGAATTTTGGGATTGGAGTAGTGTCTATGGGAATTTCAGATGCTTGGAAGGAGTCGTCAGCTCATCGGAAGCACCCCTACCCCAGGAGGTTGGATTGTTGAAGGGATAATTTAAAAACCCTGGGATAGCTAGAAAGTCAGGATTGGAGTAGTTCATAGATGGTAACTTTGGATGCTTGGAATGAGTAGGCAACCCATAAAAACGGTCTTCCTCTATTCCTGGGTTGTTCGAACTTTAACGGGATAACTAACTAAAAACCTTGGGGAAACCCTGCTGACCCCCATGTTTTAAAATCGGCTATAGGTTTCCCGATGAAATAGGATAGGGAATACGTTTCATAATGTAATAAGATACCAGATTTCAGATATTAAGTTTCAGATGGTAAACTTTTTCGGTGCCCGTTTTTCCCATATATTAGGATAGTGTATAAATTTCCCTATGTATTAGAAATTCATTGTAGGGAATTAAGAACTCATTAATATAGGCGATGGGTTTCCCAATGTATTAAGATCGGGAATGGTAAGGTTTCAGTGTGATGATAAGAAAAACGTTTTTTTTTTTGGATTTTATGTGGAAATGTCTAGATTTTTCGCAAAAATCTCGGCACGCGTTATGTAATTGGTGAGTTATACATGTAAATTGTGTAATGAAAGTATTATGTTTTTTTTTGGTTCATGGTAAGTCAATGGTAAGATGTGCAAAAACTTAATTCATTGCAAGTTTTTGTGAATTTACTAAATAGAAATATTTATTTACTGCTATGGTGATTTAAACTTATGAATTTATTGCTTGGGAAGAAAATTTTGATTACTTCAGTTATATACTCCAATTGTAAAATTGAATTTGAAAAGTTATAGAATAGAGTTTACAACTTTTTACTTGTTTTTATTTGATTTAGGTGACTGAAAAATAAGTTCTAAAATTTGATTTAGTTCTAAAAAAATAAAAGTGAAACATAAAATGAAGGTGTAGTAGTCTTTGAAATTTTCTAGTTTAATTTCTCAATTAAATTTACAAAGGGTCGTCATCGGCAAAAAAATCCATTCGGAAAATTAGTGCGAATTGTGTCGGATGATGCGAGGAGTTTGGCAAGCATGAGGATGTCGTATTTAGTGTAGAGGAGAAGCCATACAAGTTTGTTCACTTTCAGCTCTTATATCACTCTGATTGGTAAGGCGTACAAGCTGGTGAGCCAAAATCCATGCACCAAAAGAATCTCCTGAACAAGCAATTGTATAATGTGCTTTAGAAAACACCAAATCAAAATTACTTCCTATGCAAGATGTATGCCGTCTTTCGATGCTGTATATGGTAATCCCTTCTTCGGTCCTAAACGCAGCAGCTGCATTAAGAAGCGGAACGCAAACTCTAAAAGACGCCTTGAACTCTGATTTTCTCAAAAGCGTTCCAACCAGCCAAGTGTTATAAAAACGAATTTACTTTTTTCCAACCCAACGCGCATTCAGAAGTGCTCATTTTGTGCCATTTTTGCCACATAGCATGGGTAGTTTAATAAGATCTGTACTCTTAAGACTAATAATCTCTGTGCCGGCAGTTCGGCACTCAACAAATTTTTTATTTTTTAGGTGTAGGATCAATAATATTTGTGCCGGCAGTTTGGCACTCAACAAATTTTTTATTTTTTAAGTGTAGGATCGGTTATCTTAGCACTTTTTCGCCATACTCAGATTTCAATTGAGAGTTTTACCTTGAGAAATGCATTGAGTAGAGTATAGTAGAGGTGATTCAGTAGTGAGCAGCTTGGTATTCACTATTAAATACGATAAGTGGAAACGCAAATAATTGATCTATCTCGATATTGTTCGAATCTTCAAAGAATTAGTCCCTTCTTTGGCGGAGTCTATAAGACGGTACCGATAGTGATACCCCCCGCTAAATTGAAACTAAGGAAGCTAGTTTTATGAAAATCATATGACAGATGCTAGAGATGATTCGACCCGGGCATGCAAAAATCGGGCCCCCTGGGGCAAATGATATCAGTCGAATAGCCCTATCAGAACTCGGTATCTCGTATCGTCCAAATCGGGCGGTTGGAACAGAAGTTATTAGCACTGGGGAAAAACACCTCTTAGACCGGAAATAGGCAATTTACGCAGAAAAGGGGTGAGGGCATGCCGGTTTTTTAGAAACAAAAGACGCTAGACACCAACCCCGAAAAACGCCATCTTGTGAGTGAAACCCCTCCGACTTCTCCTTCCGGTGTTAGTAGCCTTTTCCCGGGGATATGGATGAATTTTGATAGGTAGGACCTTCTTGAAATTCTGTAACCGACTATAGAAGGTTAATTCCGGACCAAAATTGCACAGAAAACCCCGGAATTATCACTGGACAATTGCGCATTCTTCAGTCCCAACACTTGGAACGAGAGTCGGTCACCCTACTAATAATTGAGAGGGAACTTATCTACTGGGAACAGAAGCAGAGACTGAAAGGGGATGTAATTTTTACAATGTAACATTGGAGCTGTGGAACAAATTAGAGTGGACTTGGCAAACCTTGGGTTCAGATTAGCTTGGCGAATAAGCTATTCATAGAAATTCAATCTGACTAAAGAAACGCAGTCCCAGTGGAAATTGGCTGTAATAGAAACATGGCAAGGGAATTAGGTCTCATGAATAAGATGAATGGCCGGGATATTTATTTAGCTTCCCTGAGGTGTCCTTGGCACAATTTGAACCATTATAAACGAATGCGGTTCCCCTGATAGGTAGATTTTTGGGATTGGAGTAGTGTCTATGGGAATTTCAGATGCTTGGAAGGAGTCGTCAGCTCATCGGAAGCACCCCTACCCCAGGAGGTTGGATTGTTGAAGGGATAATTTAAAAACCCTGGGATAGCTAGAAAGTCAGGATTGGAGTAGTTCATAGATGGGAACTTTGGATGCTTGGAATGAGTAGGCAACCCATAAAAACGGTCTTCCTCTATTCCTGGGTTGTTCGAACTTTAACGGGATAACTAACTAAAAACCTTGGGGAAACCCTGCTGACCCCCATGTTTTAAAATCGGCTATAGGTTTCCCGATGAAATAGGATAGGGAATACGTTTCATAATGTAATAAGATACCAGATTTCAGATGGTAAGTTTCAGATGGTAAACTTTTTCGGTGCCCGTTTTTCCCATATATTAGGATAGTGTATAAATTTCCCTATGTATTAGAAATTCATTGTAGGGAATTAAGAACTCATTAATATAGGCGATGGGTTTCCCAATGTATTAAGATCGGGAATGGTAAGGTTTCAGTGTGATGATAAGAAAAACGTTTTTTTTTTGGATTTTATGTGGAAATGTCTAGATTTTTCGCAAAAATCTCGGCACGCGTTATGTAATTGGTGAGTTATACATGTAAATTGTGTAATGAAAGTATTATGTTTTTTTTTGGTTCA